GTCCCAAAGTAGCAACCCTTCCTCTGACACTTGGTAGGCACCCCCTGCTACACCACCATTAAGGGTTTCACGGTATATGTCCCCAAATTCCTTGTCTGTGGAGTAGGCCTGACAGAATTCCTCAGCTGTTCTCAGGTGTCATATCCATTCCCGGCCATCGACTTCCAGTCCCTCCGTTCCCTCCGGTCTAACTCTGCTCCTCCTTCACTAACCTTGGAGCTCCCGTATTCCGCAATCCTCTTGGCACCCCTCGATGGTCACCACCCCCTCATTTCAACTTATTACCTATGCCTCCCTAAGTACGGAGCCCCGAAGACTTCCGGACAGCTCCAACGTCCGCTAGCGCACCCCTGCCTCCGCTGGGCAATACAATCGCCTGCCCTGCAGAGCCTACCTTCAGGCTTATCCCTCCTTTCCATTTCTGGGTTATCGCCTGCCTTTCCGCTAACCCCGCAACCTGACTTGTCAGTAATATTCAGTCGGCTAATGATTAACCCCGTTAGCTCTGCTCCATCCAGCTCTGCCAATTGCGAACCTGTCTTCGCTGTAACCATATATATATCCCGCTTGTACATAGGTTACACTCCAGTAATAAAATCAACTAGAGTTACCCCCCCTAGGTTCTAATTGCCAGTCAGTAAGTTAGGGCATGGATGTGTCACTAGGCACAGCGCTCTTGGCAGAAGTCGCTGAGGCTGAAGCCCTCCGCTATGGAGACATTCCTTCGTCTCGAATCTGGTCTCTGACAGGCAGTGAGGGCCTGGGAGATTGAGGTAGCAAGGTTGAAAGAGGAGAAGATTCCAAAGAAGAGTTGGCTGATAAAGCCCAAGTGCCCACATAAGTAAGTGGTGCTAGCTGCAGTAAAACTGTCAGATTTTGTAGAAAACTTTGGGGATGATGAGGGTGAGTCTTTTGACTTGGGTCCAGACAACTCAGACAGCGAGTGGGAGGAGGATGGGGAGGATTGATCGAGTGATAAGACTTTTCCCATGGCTGTGAACATCAAAGGTTGCCATACTAAAAGGCCCCCTCTGCAAAATTACAATTATCTCTCAACAACTCATTAGTTTCTTCCCAGAATTGGAGTGTTAGGAGCAGAGATGGTATTCTTTGATATGCTGGTTTTTACTTACAATGTTTATGTTGACAAATGAGTTTAAAGTTTGTTGAACAAAAACTGTGAACTTCGGCTGTGTCAGAGACCGGATCGAGACAAAGGAATGTCTCCATGGTGGAGGGCTTCGGCCTCAGCGACTTATGCCAGGAGCGCTGTACCAAGTTATGTACATGTCCATGCCCTAATTTACTTACTGGCAACAAGAAATAAAGGGGGTCAACTCTAGTCGATTTTATTACTGAGGTGTAACTTATGTACAAGTCAAGTATATATAGTTACAGTGGGGGCAGGCCTGTAAATGACAGGGCTGAGTGGAGTGGAGCTAACGGGGTTAAACATTAGCTGATTGAATATTACCAACAAGTCGGGTTACAGGGTTAGCGGAATGGTAGGTGATAACCCAGAAACAGAAAGGAGGGATTGGCCCGAAGGTGGGCTTGCAGGGCAAGCGAGTGTATTGCCCAGCAGAGGTGGGAGTGTGCTAGTAGATGTCGGAGCTGTCCAGAAGCCTTCAGGGCTCTGTACTTAGGGAGGTGTAGGTAATATTGAAAAGAGGGGGTGGTGACCATTGAGGGAAGCAGAGGTGATTGCAGAATACGGGAGCTCCAAGGTTAGTGAAGAAGGAGTGGAGGTAGTCCAGAGAGATCAGAGGTAGTGGAAGTCAATGGTCGTGGATGGATATGACAGGCTGCAAAGTAAACAAACAACCAAAATGCACTCTGGAGTGCTCAAAAATATTCAGAAAAATCACAAAGGATGCATATGAAGATCCAATTGACATGGGGACTCTTGTGGACACTTTTCAGGATGTCTAACCCTGTGCACAGGCCAATTTCACAATTCTCACACCCACCACTTGGTCAAATCTCAACCATTCACAACAAATTTGGTATCAGGAGAAAGCTATGAACCCAGGGAATCAAATGAAGAGGTCGGGAAGGGATGCTACAGGTAGGAAGAGACGGATGAGTGTGGTGTGATGGTGGAAATTGGTGGAGGACAGCAATTATTAGTGGATATGGCCCACTTATCACCCCTGTTTTTCTTTTATTGAACTTCCATGTTGGCCATTGGCTGTACTTAACAGTCCACATGGTGCCTGTAACAACAATTTTTCATTTTATATTTTCTTTCCATTTGTTTTTCCACATTATTGCTGTTCCATGTGTTTAAAAGCCCTGTACACATAGGAATGGTAAAGGGACCTCCCTTTTGACTACAAAGAGACTGTAGTGCTGAGAGATCCAAGTAGAAAAAGAAACCCTAAGCTTGACTCCTTGAGTATTATAAGGAATCCCTGACAATTGTCCAAGACGGACCAGGGGTACGTAATTCTTAAAGAGTTTTTGTGATGTTGCTTTGTTAGCACCCAGACCGAACCTAGGACGAGCTGAGAACATCCTAGACTCCCTCCCACAAATTTGCTTGCATTTAGGGGGTTAGATCTCTAGCCTGCTTGCAGTAGTGGTGGTCCTTACAGGGGGAGGAGTCATTTTATTTGTTCAAGAATGTCCTATTCCCAAATACTATTCCTCCACACCACTCATACACACCCCTCACGCACAAACGACTATTGATTGAGAGTCAGCCAGAAGAAATTTTTTTTTTTTACCGCACAACACTATATACAAGTTCAAGTTTGCAAGACTAGAGAAGATGTCTCACACTGGTGGTGCACCAGCACCCACTCCAATTAACCTAGCTGCAGCCCCCATTGCCCAAGCTGCTATGTCGGCAATTAGCCATATGCCTGGTTCCCATTCCAGGGATGCACCAAGGTATAAGCTCAAGAAGTTCTTATTTGACTTCAAACTTCATGCCAACGCGGTGCACCTCTCAGATGGAGAGAGATGCGAGTATGTAGTATCCTACTGCTCCGAAAAGGAAGCCAAGTTCATCATAACATTGGACAGCTTTGAGAACAGAGATGGAATATGTTGAAAACAGATCTCAAAAATTATTACCCCACTGATCAAGAAGATCATGTGTACCGCACCAAGGACTTGCAGCGCCTCATCGATAAAGACTGCAAAATAAAGCGTTGTGAAGACTTTGACACATACCATCACAAGTTCAGGCTCATAACAAAGTCCCTGGAAGCCAGGCATGCCTTGAACGCAAATGACAAAGATGATTATTTTTATTGTGGTATCAAACCCATGAAGTTTCATGGTAAAGTCAAGTGTGAGCTTAAAGCTCACAACTGTTGGAGGGGCCTCACAGTTTCCCCAGACATGACACAAGTAGTTCTGACCATAAAAGAACTATTGAAACATGACCTATACCATGCTGACAAGTCAGACAAGGATTTGGATTCAGACAGCGACAAATCATCTGGAGATTCCTCCGATGACAAAGGGGACTCCGAATAAGATAGCTCCTCAGATGAGTCCTCGGATTCTGAAGAAGACCAACCAGCTCTGCACCATAAAAGTTCTAAGTTGTCTAAGAAAAAGAAATCCCATAAGAAAGCCAAGCATGGGTCTTCTGAAACCCACGAAGAAGTCAGGGTAGCCATGGCACCCAAGCCTGAACCCAAACAAGAGACCACAGACCATGTTCAGAAAACCAATGTGGATGATTTGGCCAATAGACTTAGCAAACTCAGTATCGACGTTGCTAGATTAATGGAAAAACCCAAGTATGGCCAATATAATACTGGACAGTGCTTCATGTGCCTCTCTGAAGGCCACAGTTTCAAAGGTTTCCCTGAGATCAAAGCATTTGTAGTGGCCTGCATAATCAGATATGATGCTGTAGGAGTGCATAACGGGTGTGCTCAATTTCATGGAACCTTATGCAGCAAATACATCAAAATTGGGCACTCACCCTTGTACATTATTAGGAAAAAGGAATTATAGAGGGGAGTAATGAGAAAGAAGAAAGAGGGTTTTTGTACGAACCGAAAGAGCCTTTTTGCAAAGGAATTGGTTGAGATTTGGTGGAGAAATTCAACCTGAGATGTCCTCATGTGCAAAGTCCATGCACTTGACCACAACCATGGGAACAAGGTCAAAAGTTGATGGAAGAGGAAGATCTTGGGGGTCATTAAATCGAGAAAAATGCCCAAAGACTCAGTGTTAAATTTCACCCTAATCGGTTCAGTGGTTGTGGAGATATTCTGATTATCAAGCATGATGGGAGTCATGGGACAATATGAACTATGCAAATGCTCACATGTGAGCTAGTCTCATTGAAATTCCAGGAGAATACAGGCTAGTTAAATGATACAAATGCTAAAGAAGTCATTGGAGGAGTCTTGGAATTATTTGGCCCAAGTTTCCCTGTGCATGGATAATCAAGATATATATTCCATTTCTGAGGATTCCTGTTCTCAGTCAAATCTCCACCAAATTTCACAAAATCGGTATCGTTAGAAAGCTATGGATGAGGAGAGTCGAATGAAATAAAGGGACGGAGTTTTGACGCAGTGTTTGGAGTGGTATGAGGAAGTTTGTGTTTTTCTTTTCAATTTCTTTCACTGTTTGGAATTTTATGTAGCGATTGAAATGGAATAGATGATTCCCCCCTCTCCTTCCATTTTTGAAGTCTGTGTACTTAGTGTGTTGTGAGTGGCCACTTGACTGGTAAGGGCAACAGATAGGGAAACCCACCATGACAAGAAATTGAAGATTACTTAGTGTTACCTCGAGTTCTCCCCCTAGTTGATTTCACAGACCTGTCAATCGTCGCACCCCTAGCCCCTACTTTCTTCCCTAATCCTTTGGGGAGTGAGTGAGAGTGCTTTCCTACCATCTTCAGAGTTTTGGTCTCCGCTCCTGCTTGCAACGCCTCCAACAGATTAGTTATGTCTGATGGTAGCCCACTTCCTCGCTCAATGGATGGAAGTCCATTAGTACATTTAATCTGCAAAAGAGCTAATATGTGTAGTGCAGCCGCTCTGGAGTGGATGTGCGATTATGAGCTTGCCAATAGAGAATTTGCTACCCTTGGTGAAGGGGAATTTGAAGTCTACCCAGCATATGCATGCCCAGCAGAGTGTGGTGACAGTGATAAGCCCAAAGCATCCAAGTCCAAGCAGTATGATCAGCCACCTTCACCAATGAGGCATACCATGCCACCAGAGGAGGTGAATACTTGTCAGGTCACAGTCCATGTATGTAGGGGGGTCATGTGACCCAGGGAGGTCACTATCATCCTACCCACTGTGAATCATACATATTTGATACTCACAGCTGGGTTCTAGGACACCCACCTTACACTCTTTTGAGTACATTTTGTTTGATATCACACTGATCCCTGGCATCGCTAGGAACCACAATTTTATGTGGAAAACAAGTGAGTGTTCATTTTTCATCAAATTCTGCTTGCCAGTCCAGCAAGAAAAAGACCCTTGCAACTAGCAAGGGGACAAAACCCCCAGTCAATAAGACTGGGAAACAGGTGAAAGTAATGCCAGCACAACCCCTTATGTGCCAGGCAGAGCTGTCACCTGTAGCAGGAGAACCTCGCTTTCACAAGGGTGTGCAAATTCAGTCATCAGAAGACCCTTGCTTTCACCAGGAGATGACTTCTCCTGCACTCCACCCAACTCAGTTGGGTACAAAGGCTTCGTGTGATGCCTCCCAGTTGTGCAGGGAGCCAAATCCAAGCCAAACTTATGTAGCAAAACCTGCCACATCATCATTTATGCCTTGGCTCCTCCACCCAGGCCTTAGAGCATTACTCCTCCCATTTTATGTGATGGGAAGGCATCAGAAGCAACCGAACGATTGCTGCTGCTTGCACAGGGAGCCGTTTGGAGCTCCAAAAAATGTGGAAAAATCGTCCACATCTTCAGATTCATCTCGCATCACCTGCATGACATCCAGCTTGCAATATTGCAGCAAGCCAGTTCACTCCCAAGTCTATTTGACTGGGAGTTACACAAAACCATCAAACGATCCTTGCATTAACTGCGAGACGTCCAGATTGTAATATAGCAGCAATCTGGTTCACCCCCCAGTCTATGCGACTGGGAGTTGTCATAAACAACCAAGGGACCACTCCTGCTTGTGCAGGGAGCTGTGTGGAAAAATTGTCCACATCTTCAGAATCATCTCATGTTAGCCACGAGATGTCCAGCTTGCGATATAGCAGCAAGCTGGCTCACTCCCCAGTCTATGTGACTGGTAGTTGTACAAATCAATCAAATGACAACTCCTGCCAGCACAGGGAGCCATTTGTGATCGCAAAAAATGTGGAAAAAACTTCCACATTGTCTACATCGTCTCACATTAACTGTGAGACGTCCAGCTCGCAAAATCGCAGCATGCTGGTTCAATCCCCAGTCTATGTGACTGGGAATTGTGCAAAACAATCAAACAACAACTCCTGCTTGCGCAGGGAGCCGTTTTCGATTGCAAAAAATGTGGAAAAAATCTCCACATTGTCGTTACCATCTCGCAGCCATAGTGAGACGTCCAGCTCGCCGCCTAGGCACGAGCCAGTTCAAACCCCCATCTACAAGACTGGGAATCATCCAAAACACTCATGGAATGACCCCCGCTTGTGCAGGGAGCCAGTCCTGAGCAAAAAAAATGTGGAAAAATCTCCACATTGTGGTCATTGTCTCACAACCGCAATGAGACTAGAACTTCATCCAGGAATGAGTGCATCCACTCTAACATGGACAAAGAGTCCATGTCACCCAAATCAACACATAAACCCATGTCAATTTCACCTCTATCCAAGGCACTTTGGGACTTTGTCCAGTTCCCACCTGAATGGAGGGTGGGGAGTACAGAACAGATAACTGCCAGACTAGAAGTCTGGGAATCGATAAGGAAAACCAAGGCACACAGTCAGTGCCTTGGGAACCCCAGATCTGGGGGAAAACCATCGTCGCATGGACTTACATCAGCAAAAAATTGTTATGCTCCTGAGTGCTCCGGAGTATGGGGAGCACTGGGAGAATCAGGAGGAGATTGGCCAGTCCAGAAACAGCTCATTTCCTCCAGAGTTGGTCAGGTACTCCAGGGCACTCCCAGGAGGGCATGGAGCATTGCTTTGTGCACAAACATATCCAGTAAATACAATTTAATGCTTCAAAATGTATAGGGGTGAGAAGCTTCTGGGAGCTCCTGGAGCATTTGAAAATGAAAAGAAAAAAAAAGAGGGAAGACTCCCCATGAGTACCTCCTACCACAAGACTAACACAACAAGACACTACTTAACATTTAGATCAAACACTATACTATACATCAAGGACACTGAGACTCACCAATACACAGTCAAAATTTATGGCCTGATATATGATTAATCTGGCAACTTAATCACTTTCGGACTTGCAGAATATGGAGGAGGGGGAAATGGGGGAGAATGAGGGGGGAAATGAGGGGGGAAATGAGGGGGGAAATGAGGAGGAGAATGAGGGGGAGAATGAGGGGGGAATATAGAGGGAAATGAGGAAATTTTGAAAAATAGGGACTTCTAAAGAGTTGAAAAAATAATTAGGGAAAAAATCAAAAAATTTTCAGGAACTGTAGTGCCTTTGAATTGCTTTCAGGATATATAATTATTTGCAAAATTGAGGAAGAAATGATGGAGAAAAATGGAAAATACTTTTGGAGACCCGAGAAATAATGAGAACTGAATTGATGGGAAAGTCTGAAAATTGAATAGGAAAGTGAGGGGAAGCCTTGTAGCATTGTTATTTTCTGCTGTTGTGATTTTTCCTGATTCTTCTTGGTCTCATTCCCAACTGCTCCTCAATACTCCTGGAAGCTCCTGAAAGCTCCTGGGAGGGTCCAGGAGCAGCTGGGAGTGAGACCAAGAACAATCAGGAAAAATCACAACAGCAGAAAATAACAATGCTACAAGGCTTCCCCTCACTTTCCTATTCAATTTTCAGACTTTCCCATCAATTCAGTTCTCATTATTTCTTGGGTCTCCAAAAGTATTTTTTTCTCCATCATTTCTTCCTCAATTTCACAAATAATTATATGTCCTGAAAGCACTTTAAAGGCACTATAGTTCCTGAATTTTTTTTGATTTTTTTCCCTAAATTTTTTTTTTCAACGTTTTAGAGACCAAAATTTTCCTCCCACTGCTCCTGGCACATTGCATACTCCTCACCACTCCCAGCCGCTCCTGAACCCCCTCCCAGGAGAACACTATTGGCTCCAGGAGTGCCCAATCTGCTGTTTTGTCTCCCACTGTCAGGGCACACCCGCCTGACCCTGCACCGCACCCCACACCGTACTGCCCTACTCCGCTTTTCCCACCATCACCCCCTGTCCCTCCTTCCTCACTTTCCCCTTTTCTCTCTATTTCTATTCTATGGTTGACTTCCCTTTTCTCCATGTACCACTATGTACCTAACCCCACTCCCCTGATTGCTGCATGTGCTGCGCACACTCCTGCCTACCGAGTGGCCACCTCCAGGATCTCCCACGGAGACACCCAGGGAGGTGTGGCTGTGTGCAGAGATGACGTGGCTTCTTCCATGTGACCCTAACCGCATGTATATAATAGCGCCTGGGGTGGGAACAGAAGAAGCAGCCTTCTTGTCATATCTATACAATCCTGACCTCCGCTCCGGGCTCCCGGAACTCCGAACTCCGACTTCCGGAGCCCTACTTCCCTTCTGTCACCTTCTCCTTGCCGACTCCCAAGAGGTTATCCCACCTCCGGCTCAGACACCACCTTCAGTCCGACTCCGGAACATTCCGGGTCCGACCCCAACCTCGACACCTTCCAGATGAGTACACAAAACCTATGCTCCCGACTCCGGACCTCCGCTCTGGAATCCCGTTTGCGTCTCTGTCTCTGGAACCTCTGGTCTTAGCTCCGACCTCGGACTTTGACCCCACCTCCGCTTATACCCATTGTATTGGTTAGCTCATTCCATTTAATTATGTTTGCCAATATTCCGGAGTTTAACTTCCGAGTTCGGACTTTCCGGACTTATGTCGGACCTTGCAACTATTGCATTGCTCCATTCAATTCCGCTATTCTCCCTCATTCCTATTTGGGCTGCTGCTTCCTTTCTATTCAGTCAGCTAGCCATTCCCCACTCCCAACCTCCTTCCTTCCTCCTTGGGCCTTGGCCCTTCACTCCTCCTTTGGGAAACACCATTGAGTCAAACCCTTGACCCTCGGTGTTGTTCCTCTTTCCATCTCCCTTTGTCTCCTTTTGTCTTACCCTTGTTCCTTTTGATTCCGGACCCCTCCTTATATACAATGTACCTAGTAACTTGTAACCTCAGTCCGAAATCGACCTGAATCCCCCCAAGAGACTTTCCCTCTGCTAGATCCGAAATTAGGGACCCCCAGGACAACCAGCAATGGCACAGTGCTCCACCTGAGTCACTGAGGCCGAGGTCCTTCCATGCTAAGTCTCCGATTCCACTCCGGAGTCGTCCGAATCCGCCGGTTCTAACACTTCTTCTCAACTTCCCACTTCAGCCTAAGTGGTTGGGGACGCTCACCCTGTGATGGGACCGCCGCTATGCATAGCCAACACCTGTCCCATCGAGTCCCTCGCACCGGGACCTCGCCACTTTCGGAGCTGTCCCTGACACCCACATGCTCCAGCCACTCCTGATGCTCCGGAGCATAACGGACTTTTGCTGATGTAACGTGCACAATATTTCTTATCCTTCTTTGGATATGCAGGAGCAGAGGGGATTCTCCCAGAATATGGTGGAACAGCACCACATTGTCAGGAACGTGTCAGAAGCGTATCCGGGTGACCCGCGAGGCGCACGAGGTCGTCCGGGCTCGTAAGGTCGGAGGGGCGGGACTTTAGCTTCAGCGACTCGGGTGGAGCGCTGCGCTTCGTTCTTACGTTGGTGTCCCAATTTCAGACAGAAGCCTTACGATGAGGATAAGAGTTTAGAGGGGGAATCCAAGTCGATATACGAACTGAGGTACATCCGGTGTAACCTACACGCGTTATAAACACAAGTAACTAAATGAGAGCGGCCCGGAAGGAGTGGCGGATCAAGCGCGATATTAATGAATGAAGAAAGAAACAAATAATTAATATCAGCAAACTTGGTCAACAAAAGGAAAGCAAGAAACAAAAGGAAGAACAATAGTCCGCAAGCGGACAAAAGAGAAAGAACCATCCGGCCGTCTAGCAAGCCGTCCGGCTGGGGGCAGACAATAGTGAAGCGGGTAACCTAGGTTGGTAGGCACGCGCGCGAGGGAGGAAGTGCGGATGAGGGTGACGGGTGGACGGATGGGTGAACGGATGATGATGATAGCGGGAGGGATGGGCCAAGTGGCACTAGGACGCGTAGAGGGAGGTGTCGGATATGTCGGGTCGTGACACACATCAGGCCACAGGATGACCACCCACACTCAGGGCCAGGATCATTAGGTGGTGGGAGGTGGTTTAGCCAATTACCCTCTGGGAAATCGCCAAGGAGACTCTCCCAGAATTTGGTGGAACAGCACCACATCGGGCCACAGGTGTCAAGGACAGCTCCGAAAGCAGCGAGGTCCCAGTGTGAGGGACTCAATGGGACAGGTGCATAGTGGCAGCCCCATCGCAGGGTGAGCATCCCCGACCACTTAGTCTGAAGTGGGAAGTTGGGTTATCATTAAAAGGGGAGAAGCTACAGTACTTACC